TTGTCACTGTTGAATAAACCACACCACATATATATAATGCAATTTTCTTTGCGGAAGTTAAAAATCAAGATTATATCACTGACACTGACATGGAAAGTTGACGATTCAATGGACAATAGTCAATAGTCAATACGCTTCCCAACAAATTCCATAGATTTTTTATTAATCCTATAGTTTATTGTTAGCAAGTGATTAATGTGGCGGCTATTGTTAACACTGCTATTGATAAAATTTGCAAGCGATTGTTTTTATAATATGTTATGTGAATGTAACTGCCAGAACAATACAACAACATGATTTTATGCGATCTCTGTGGGCAATGGTTCCACTTTAGATGTGTAGAATATGACACTAGTCTAAGTACCTCAAATGAGTGGTTATGCAGACTGTGCACACCACCAGCTGCTAAGAAGCCTAAAATGTGTATGTAATTTTGTCTCCTTGTAATAAATAAATAAATCACACAATAAATCTTTTCAAGTTGCAATCGTTTTGTTTTTAGATCAAAAATTCAAAATTTATATGGGGGGGGGGCGAAATTCCTAAAGGGGGGCGATATTCCTAGGAATATCGCCCCCCTTTTGAGAGGGGGGCGAATCTCCTGTGACACCGGATTGGCCTGCTTACACTGTTCGGCACATACCGGATTACTTTTCATATCACCTCCAAAGAGAAGTGATTTTCGCGCCGCGGCACGTACCGGATTATAGTCGCGTAGTGTAAACAAGAGCCCAATCCGGTACTTGACCCCCCGTTCGGAAGGTTACTTTGTGAGGATTTCAATGATGGTCTTTGTTTTAAAAGGGGGTAAATTCTCGCCGAGATATTTACAATAGAAAAATTGAATCGCAATGTGATGCGAAACCACTCGGTGAGCTGCTATATTACTATGAATATCAAACTAAATCTACTGCTCCCTTGTCTTACAATTAAATATCTAAACCCAACATTATCTCCTGTTTACGTGTGCGTTTATTCAAGGTTCTTATTTTGTCAACCAAACACTGCGCAAAAATATAAAGTTGATGTTCAGCAATATCTATACTATTGGTCGCTACTAAGAAATACAAAACTATTTATACAAGATCAAATGAAATATGATATCTGTCAGTTAAAAATTATGAGTTCCTTGGAGGCTTTACATCCGTGGTTAAGTTCCGGTCTCTGGCGATGAATATATAAAGATTCTTTGAAAAGTAATTCAAAGACCAATATCCTACAGTTGTTGAATATAATTGATTCAGAAGTGAAGTCGTCTAGATTAATTAGCGTATGAGGAAGATTAAGTAGCGTTCTATAATACACGAAGTGTTCGCATGAATTTACGTGTTTGTAAACTTCTGATTCTTTACTACGGGCATGCTCTTGCCTCTAATTACTAACTAGGGTACCTGCAAGGTAGGGATTGCTGCGGGCATTAAAAGCAAATAGAACTACAGTAAATAGCACAAATTATAGATCAAGCACAGTTATTACTCGCAGCGACTAGTGAGCTGTGAGCTTAAGGCCTTAACCCAGTAAGGAATCGATTCTTACCATGAGCGGAACATCACGAAAAGGATGTTAATTAATGAACACCTGTGACTTGAAAACTATAGAGAATATTTTTCTCAATTTTTATTAGTCAGACGTTATGTGGCGGAACTGAGAAAAAGCAATATATATTTAAAGTAGCCAAGACCAGGGGTTAAAGGGCAATCACAGGTGACAGACATTAAACATGTGCGTTT